ATCTTTTTTATCAGCTATAAAGCTGATGTAAGGATCACTACCCCCCCTGTTTTTGTGTAGCTGTTGAACTGGGTAACCCCCAGCGATGTAAAACCTCTAGCTTTCAATATAAGCTGGGCCGTTGGCCTTCTGTCTAAAAAAAACATGCTAAAAAAATTGGTGCCAAAGCAAACAATATGAGACACTAATATGACATCTATTGCGGAACTATTATTGAATGAACCATTAGAAACTAGCAAAGATGAATCATCAAATGAACTGCAATGTGAAATCTGTTTGCAAATCTCTGTGCTCTGATCTTTCATGGTATTCATTGGTTTGTAGTTGATAACTGGACAGTCTCATCAGGCAATTGTTTCTTATTCAAATTTGAGCCTAAAACTTTTAACTATTATTCCTGGTGGGGTTCCTCCTGCCAGCGCCAGAAACCTGTACCCACCAGCCAGCAACCAGGAAATTCCCAACATCAATAAAAATAAATGTAAAAAAATCAAAATCTTACCGATTGAACTGCATATCTTAGACCCAAAAATGTGGCAGTCAGGGAAGATGCACTCGAGCACAGAAATTGAAGCCCAGATGTCAAACCCCGTCCTTGTGACGCAAGCTCCAAGACAGCTCGCCCAACTTGCCGCAGATTCTACAGTGGGTATAGCAAGAAGAAGAAATACTAAGTGCTCAGATGCGCAAGGGGTAGAATGGAAGACAAGAGCAATACCCTTACATCATTATGATCAACTAGTGTCAAAATCAAGCTTTCCGCCATCATTGATTCCCAAGCCCCATTGCTTTAGAAGCCCACGTTGCTCAATTTGCATGATGACATGAATGGCAAATCTAGAAAGAATTCAAGTGCAATATACTGGAGAAATTCAGGATTTATGGATTACAATAAGTACGAGATATGGCATGGAAAGATTTTAAGATGAATAGGAACTGGTAAAATAGAGTCAACCTTTTAAATATTTTTAATAGCAGGGTACAAGATTGTGACACCTTGAGAGTATTGATACACTCCTTCCCAACTCCACCATCATCTGCACCATTTGGGACTTGCCATGAAAATGTTGGCAATACTTCTCCAGCATGTGATGACAACCAATCATTCACAGGCACTGAAGACTCTGTAGATACTCCAGGCTCCAACACAGAAATATGAGATAGAGCCCAAAACACTGCTTTTGAAAAGGCCATGGGCAGTTCAGAAGGTTCCAACTGAACCATTATGAGGTACCATAACAAAGGGACACATCTCCAATCCTTGCATTCCCGACATGTCAACTTGTACAGAACATTGAAATCATTCCAACAGCCGTAATCCATCTCTTCAGCATCACAGAAGACAGGCAATTCATCGTCATCATCAACAAATATGACAGAATTGATTACATCGCCCTTTGTGAAAGACTCATACTTCATTTTAAAAGAGATCAAAGCAGAAGCATCAGAAATTATGAGGATATTGATGAGATCGAGTGCAGGTTGACGCAAAGAATTATGTAATGATTTGTCCTTTAATGAGCCAATCAAAGATGGTCCCCTGTACAGAATCCAGGTCAGGGGATGATATGCAACAGTAGAGAAATAAATGTAACCTCATAATAGAAATTAAATAGGGAAATCCAGCAGCAAATAAAAACGGAGGTTAGCTAGAAACAAGAATACAAGATATCGAATATGTGGACAATGATATCTAGAAGTGGGCCAACTTCCAACAATGGTTTTCATACATGATAAGTTTTAATAAAATATAGAAGCAGTTTTGACTTCAGCGGTTCAGCCACCATAGTAAAACTTGTATAGTAAAACTTGTTTATTGTCATCCAACGAGTAGGATATTTGCCACGTTGTGAAGAGAAGTATGTTTGGTCCTTACCACATATGGACACATTCAGATGCTGGGCAAGGAGGGTTCATTGTGTACCCTCTTTGTACAATAAGAAGAGCAATCTGGAAGGAAACACGGAAAAACATCAGGGCATTAAATGGCAAGTGTGCATAATAAATATTCCAGTAAACCAAGACTGCGGGGAGGTTGATGATTGGTACAGTATAAAGTATGTAGAAAAAGGCTATTTTCTTTTGTTGTACATAGCTTGGTCAGAATTTCATATTTAGTTAGTTATAAATAAGTATGAAAATATTAATGTGAAAGGAAATCTGTAGTTTTTATAATATTCCTAGAAACAGTGATAGAATGCATTCTAACACTGTGGACTTACATGATATTTTCAATGTAACCTACCAAAAGGTTGAAAGTTCAAACCACAGGCTTAAAGCACAGCATCAACTTAGGAGAAACAATTATAACTGTCAACTACCATGTCGCACTACAAAACTACTCAAAATGATTTGTTGCATTTTCTCCTTGCAATACAAATGTAGTACTTAGATAATCATGAGCGCAGGGAGGCACTGCAACACTGCCTGGGCATCTAGGCGATTTAGAAGCCATCTTAATCGACACCATGTAAGCATATAAACAGCATGAATCAGCAACTACAGCAGGAAAAAAATCAGCATGCAGCAGCAATTACAGAGGGAAATGCAATCTCTCCTTCCCTCCCTCCCCCTTGCGTGTCCTCTGCTGTTGTAACCCATGGAGCTGCCAACGACAACTGTTACCAGTGATTGCGATGGAGAGCAGCAAGCACACCAATCATGGTGAGTGAAAAAATCAACAACAAAGATGACCACAAGTACAACAGTAGTACTGACAGCAATATTTAACTTATGTGGAATAATCCTTTCAGCACTGAAGGAATAACAGACCACAAAACCTAGAAGGCTCTAATGGCTTTCCATGAATACTTCTACTCACCCACCTCATCACCAACTGTAGCAAAGTCGATGACTAATATATGTAATCAACTAATGAAGTGGGTATAGGTCTTGTACTGTTTTATACAGCTAGCATCTTTAAGATTTGAAGTATGATATCAAACAATGTGCGATATTACAAATGGTTAAAAGTCCCAAATATGCTGTACTTAATAGTAAAAATAAGGGAATACAATCAAGTTATTTTTAGTAAGCATTTACATGGGAAGTCAAATAACTAAAGTGAATATCCAGTTAGCAACAAAAGAAGCTAACCTTAGTAGCGGTTTTTCTCATCAGAGAACTGAAGTTACTACTCCGAGTTACTTGATAAAGAAGAAAATACAGTATGTTCCTCCTTTGCTTTTCATGATCACCGTCTTGCAGTGCTTCAAGTGACTGCATACAAGATTGAGCACATCATAATGCACTAATGATCAGTATATGCGAATATCATTGGATTCAAAGGAACAACAAACATGCCTGGAGAAATGGGAGGAAAAGGTCAAAAATTTCTTTGTGGCTTTTCTCATCTCTAGTATGAAAACAATGGCCCAACAATGTGTTCCGCATGACATTAGGTGATAGGGTTGTTCTCAACCAAAGTTTGCAACCTAAAACAAGAAAATGTGTAAGTTTGCAACAGGAAAAGTTCATCATAGCCTCATAGGACAGCAAAAACTCATAGTAGTTACACTTACCAAGCATTTCAAATGATGCTTTCAGGCAACTAACAGCACATGATAAATCAGATCTATCATCACTGACATGGTTAAGTACAATATTCAGGAATATAGGGTATCTCTCCAAGATTCCATCTTCGAAAGCAGGTGCATCAAGAAATCCAAGGCTGCAAAAACAAAGTCAATACATTGACAGGTAAAAAATTGGAAGAAGCAACATGGTAAGTCATATGTAATACATGTGTTAAACTTACATACAGTGATTTAAATCCAAGCCATATATCGGCTCTTTTGAGCTGCACCCTAGGCCTTGGAGATTCTGAAGTAGATGGAAGAACTTCGGCTTCCAAAAAATTAATATATTTTTGCAGTAAGGGTTGCAAAGGGTCCAAGTCAACTGCTTTCCTGCATATTACTGTTAATGTTAATACAGTTATAAGAAATTAAAGCAGACAAATCAGACCAAATGTGTTAAAGCCATACAAGGCTAAACCAATCTCAACATGCCTCCTGGCATGATATTAGAGCACTTGATCGAACACAACTTGTACATTGAGTTGAATTATAGAGGTCAGATCCTACTACAGATTTCAACATACTTAATATTCTTACTAAACAAAAAAAATATAAGTGATACTAATGGAACATTGAAGATTGAATCAAATGTAAAAGGAATGGCAGGGAGAACTTTCCAGTGTTAAATATGGAAAGAGGCATTATATTATCCAATATGAGAACAAAGCATTTGATTCTTCTTGTAGATTAAAAGGGTGCAAAATCTGAAAATCTTATGAGTAATCAGCTAAGGTATTACACATAACACCACCTTGTGGCGTGAAACAGTTTTTGGTCCATAAAATTAATAGTTGCCAACCACTATCTAAGTCAAAGCCAGAAGCAAGTCCATTAATGGTACAAGTTGGATATAATCGTGGTTTCCATCCTGAAGCTTTTTCACGGCATTATGTATTATACCCACAGTTTCAGACTTCCGTTTCTGTTTCCTAAAACCATCATATCTTTCTAAGAAAAAATAACCACAATCTTTCAAACAAATGTCCTTAATTGCAACGTTTTTGCATGTAATCACTGTTTTGGATCTTGCTAAGATATCTTAAATAAGGCTCTAGGCCTGTAGTTAGTAATTAGGGGTGGGCAAGAAATTACCGAAAACCGGACACCGAGCCGAACCGCACCAAAGTGGCGGGTTTTGCGGTCTACGGTTTTTCCATCGGTTTTTATTTTAACGTAGCTCGGTGTTCGGTCATCGCGTCGGTTTCTTCAAAAGAATAAATCGGTCCACCGAGAAAACCGAGGAAGGGACAGCCCAAGGTAATACAACTATACAAGGCCCAACTCATCCCCTTCCATCCAGCCCAAGAGATAGCGCAACTTTATCCAACCCTAGCACCGCCCAACGAG